GAAGCCATAAATTCATACTCAGCACCAAAAATTGCGCAGCCCTCCGTGTGCTCGAGAATGACGTGAGCGTCCCACCCCGATCAACGACCCTAATCCCCGTAACCACTGGTACTGCCGAAAATGCTCATGGCGTCGTCGGAGGTAACATACAGCTTTTGCTTGGCCGTGATATCGCAATCGCAAGAGGCATTGCGGACTTCCAGAATGGACAGGGCCCAGTGCTGCTAACAAATTTCAGGCAAGAACACCGTCACCTGGCCAAAGGCACGACCATTGCCTTTCTCGATGAAATCGCGGAAGTCAGTGACACCCTCCCCCTCTCGAATCCAGCGACCATCACCCCATAGACGTACAACTCGCAGCTGTCATTCGACATTTCGCTACGTGGTTTTCTTGGTGCGAGCTGACGGCCTCATGCCAGCAACAGTGGAATTCGCTCGCCGAAGCCGTCGCGTGAATGAGGTTTGCCTGCGCTAGCGACTGATCGCGCGACGCCGATCTACATCGCGTCGCTCGTCGCTGTCGCGTGCATTTTCGCGCTTATGGAGTTTGGGCTTAACCCTTCCTTGCCTCAATGCAAGCAGCAACTGCTCCAGAACCTCCTTCGACGTTATGACGACTGTTTCGCCACTTCTTCACAGGTCCGACACACTTCTCTGGCAAAGCATCGAATCATAACACAAGAAGACATCCGCCCTCTCCATCAAAGCCCTTATCGTGTGTCGGCACGTGAACGTCAGGGCATCCGAGAGCAAGTTGAGGAAATGTTACACGACGATGTAATTCAGCCATCAAAAAGCCCATGGGCAGCACCAGTCGTCCTTGTCAAAAAGAAAGACGGAAGTCTTCGGTTTTGTGGCGATTACCGACGGTTGAATAGTGTAACCAAGAAGGACGTGTACCCTTTACCAAAGATCGACGATACCCTAGATCGTCTTAGTGATGCAAGGTACTTCTCGTCCATTGATCTGAAGACACGGTATTGGCAAATTCAAGTTGATGAAAGAGACCGAGAAAAGACCGCCTTCGTCACGCCGGATGGATTGTATGAGTTCAAAGTGATGCCATTTGGACTTCGTTCCTCTCCAGCAACCTTCCAGTGTCTAATGGACACAGTACTGGCAGGTCTCAAGTGGCAAATATGTCTAGTATACCTGGACGATGTGGTCGTCTTCGCCTCCAACTTTAGCGACCACCTGAAAAGGCTCCAGACGGTACTGGACGCAATTAAGTCATCAGGGCTGACACTGAAGCAAGAAAAATGCCATTTTGCCTATGAAGAACTACAGTTCCTTGGCCATGTTATAAGCAAAGATGGCATAAGACCAGATCCCAAGAAGACAGCCGCTATCGCACAGTTTCCTCAACCGCAAGATAAGAGAGCAGTGCGCCGATTCTTAGGACTGTGCGCCTATTACCGACGCTTCGTCAAGAACTTCTCACAGATTGCTGCCCCTTTGACGCAGCTCATCAAGTCGGACGCCCCTTTCGAATGGAAAGCTGAGCAACGTGAGGCATTCAAAGAACTTCAACAACGTTTACAGTCGCCGCCTGTGCTGGGTCACTTTGATGAAAATGCCGAAACTGAGATACATACAGACGCCAGCAGCATCGGCTTAGGTGCCGTTCTCGTTCAGAAGCACAAGGGCTGCGAGCGCGTCATCGCTTATGCAAGCCGCTCACTGTCGAAAGCGGAAGTGAACTATTCCACGTCTGAGAAGGAGTGTCTCGCGATAGTATGGGCCACCTCGAAATTCCGCCCATACTTATATGGCAGACCCTTCAAGGTCGTAATGGACCATCATGCGTTGTGCTGGTTGGCCAGTTTGAAAGACCCTTCTGGCCGCCTCGCTCGATGGAGCCTACGGCTTAAAAGAGTTTGACGTGAAGGTAGTCTACACATCTGGTCGTAAGCACTCCGACGCAGACTGCCTCTCAAGAGCCCCTGTCGGCGCACCACCAAGCCATGAAGACGACGATGCCTTTCTTGGGCCTATCAGCAGCAGCACCTTTGCATTACAGCAGCGCTCAGACCCGATGCTACAACAGTTGATCAACTACATCGAAGGAAAAGCCTCCATACCGCCTGCACTCTTCAAGCGTGGGATATCCTCCTTCTGTGTGCAAAACGGGGTGGTAGTTAAAAAGAACTTCGCACCGAATAAGGCAGCTTATCTTCTTGTCGTCCCTAGCAGCCTCAGAGAAGAAATTTTACAAGCGTTACATGACGAACACACTGCAGGCCTCCTCGGTTTTACACGCACACTCCACAGAATTCAAGAACGATACTACTGGCCCTGCCTCTCCTCAGATGTTGCGCGGTACGTCAAGAGTTGCCGCGAATGTCAGCGCCGGAAGAGACCTCCAACAAAACCAGCTGGATTTCTCAAGCCAATTGAACCCCCGTCGAGACCATTCCAACATATTGGTATGCACCTGCTTGGACCTTTCCCCACGTCAACATCCGGTAACAAGTGGATCATAGTGACCACTGATTACCTTACCCGATAGGCTGAAGCTAAGGCCCTCCCGAACGGCACAGCCGTAGAAGTTGCCAAATTTTTTGTCGAATCAATTCTCCTCCGTCATGGCGCACCTGAGGTACTAATAACAGACAGGGGAACAGCGTTTACGGCTGATCTTACTCAGGCAATCTTACATTACAGTCATACAGATCACCGAAGAACAACTGCGTACCATCCGCAGACAAACGGTCTCACGGAACGCTTGAACAAGACCATTGCCGATATGCTCGCTATGTACGTGGACACAGAACACAAGACCTGAGACTTAATTCTGCCTTACGTGGTCTTCGCCTACAACACCGCGGTGCAGGAGACCACTAAAATGACACCATTTAATCTCGTCCATGGGAGGGATGCCGTTACTACCCTGGACGCCATGCTGCCTAATGTCACCGATGAAAACAACCTAGACGTGGCCGCCTACCTTCAGCGCGCAGAAGAAGCCCGGCAGCTTGCTCGTCTGCGCATAAAAGACCAACAGCGAAACGACGCAAGACGCTACAACCTGCGGAGACGCGATTTAACATACAGGCCAGGTGACAAAGTCTGGGTTTGGACGCCGGTTCGCCGCCGAGGATTAAGGGAAAAACTCATGGGCCGTGATTTCGGCCCATACAAAGTCATCCGTCAAGTGGGTGAAGTGGACTATGAAGTGGTCCCTGATGGAGCTAGCTCATCCCAACGACGCCGCGCACGACAAGAAGTGGTACACGTCGCCCGTTTGAAGCCCTATCATGCGCGCTAAAGGAGGCTCCCTGTTTGCATCTCTTGTTTTGTTTATGTGTGCGTGATTCGTGCTTATTTGCCATTTACTTTCGCACAGGCTGTACTTTTGTTTTGGTTTTATTTTAAACAAAGCATCTGGTCGATGCTTACGTTGAGGAGGGGAGCAATGCCGCGAGACGTATTGCGGATAGTGTTGCGCATGCCGATACCGCCGGCACGCAGCCTTATCGTGATCCAGGATGCACCGCGACTCATCTGCGAAGATCATGGCCCGCACGTCGACCATTCATTGATAACGAGGTAGCGCCAGACGCTACGGCGACTGTATCTCGGATGGTGAATGCGCCTTGCGTTCCAGTGGGACATTTCTGTTACCCGACGGCCGTCGAACGCGCTGTTCGCCTCCCACTAAGCTGGTGGGTCTGTTTTCCTTCAGTGGGCGCAAGTCCGCCAAATAAACGGATCTCCTTCTATTTCTACTAACCTCCCGGTCTCCTGTCTTCGGGCTACCCTCGGTCTTACGTGACAATATCGCCAATCGGCTCTGTGAGATCGCACAGGGGTCCAAAAGAGCAATGAAATGAAAAGAGTCGACAACCACTCTTTTGTAGCACAAAGTCGCCATGAATCTATAGATTCCAAGGATCAATGGGATTCCAAGGATTTTATGGAAGAAAGCTTCTCAGTTTATAAAAAACTTGTCCTAGTCTGGGTATCGAACCTGGGACCGATGCCTTTCTGGTCCCGTCAGTAATCCATGTTATTGTAAGTACATCTTCTCCAGGAACAAAGCTCAAAGCAAAACTGATTTCTACAGCAAGAATGTACTCGCATGTGGATGTGAGGCCAGGCAAGCAGACTGGTGACTGCGGTGGGCATACTGACTGCTGCTGCCGCTGGCCATCACGGTCACATACTGGTAGCTTGGTCCATGATCTTGCAAGCCTTCACGGCAGAATCCTATACAGCAATGTTGGCTCTGCCACATATTAAGATTTTCTGTTGTTTCGTTGCATTCACTGGTCCAGTGAATGAAACTTCTCACGGCACCACAGGTCGGCCAACTCGCTCATGAGTCGACTCGCACAGATCGGGCCGTGAGTCTGAGCGAGGGACACTTTGGTGAGTGAGTGCGATTACACAAAGTTCTAGTGAATCTAAGTCGAGTAAGTCCAAATAAATAAAATTTAGTTAGCCTGAATCCGAGTCGGCCCTGACAGTGAAACACATCTTGCATACGGCTGAGTAATTGGAAATAAACAGGATTGACACCATTATCAAAAAAGCTAATTTAATGCCATGAGTCCGAGTGTGCCTCACCTTTTGTTACCGACTCAAAGTTTATTCTCACATATCTCTGAACACTATAGCATTCAAGCACCATGTCAATGTTTATTTATCAGAGGTGTGAGTTGAGGGAAGAGGTGCCTTTACTTTCCTCCCCAACCTCATTCCCAGGAAGTTCTTGATAAGATTATTCCGTGTGAGTCAAGTATTTCATAAAAATGTCTTTACTAAATTGAGACCACAGACAACTCGTATTTCAAGGTAGAATATCAAAAGTAATTGGCAATAAACAGGATTGACCCCATTGTCAAAAAAGCAAATTTTATGCCAACAGACTTGGGAGCCTACTTGAGTGATTATGAGTGAGCTCGGATTTTTTTCTCACCTATGCGCGTCACTGATAACAAATTGAGTTACCATGTTGTAAGCAAAGGATTTTTACATCTCTTCATTTCCAGGTGACCCTGCCAAGATATGGATTATGACTTCAAAGTCAAGACGGCTAGTGTGCGTGCAAAGGTGGAGGACATTTTCGAGTTCGAGGGCTTGCAAGGTTGGCCGAGGCACATATGGACACGTCTACAAGGCTCGTCGTAAAGACGGGTATGCTTGTCTCATGTCATGCACTTTCTTGACTGTGGCTTGGAACTAAGCTGTTGGATTAAGTGCCAAATGCAGACTGGCACAGTGATGGTGTAACTTAGTGCCAGTTGTGTGGTCATTTTACCATGTTCAATTTATACAGTAGTGTGGATGTAATTTAAATTTCTGCTTCTAATTGAATATTCTTCATACTTGATTTGGGAATTGACATTTCGAGGTTGTGGAAAAATAATTATGGCTATATCCGCGAGGTGTGAAAGCACTTTTTGGAGTCTCAAAGGAACATAATTATCCATATGAGTTCCGAATGAGGCTACTACACTCTTTGTTGCACTAAGGGAGAACTTTTTTTGTGAGTGCTTTAGACAGCAGCTAGCATTTGCTCAGTCCTTTATTTGTCTCTCATTCAATTCAAATTCAGTGTGTGCCTTTTCAAATGCAGTTTATGAAGAACTGTCTGTAAATGCATCAAATATACACTACATTATTTCAAGGCTTTGCTATATTCGAACACTGCAAATTTATGTCGTAGTACATTGATTAACATTTTTATAGTATTTGATCTATATAAATACTAAGACAGTATCTGTTTATCTCAAGGTCATTTATGTTCTGCTAAGAAGGAAATCAATTGGCAGGTTCTGAATTTCATGCAATGTTGCCTATGAGAATTTTTAGCCAAGAATACTTATGCTTTCTACACGTCTGGTAGAGAGCGGCACGTTGAACGACTCGTAGAACACCTACAGCAGAGTGATTGTATGCAACAGTACACTGTAACATGACGTTAAATACACATTTATTTTTCAGGAGCTTCATTTCCCCCAAAAATCAATGCACCTTGCTCGTAGGTACAAGTTAACACAACTAGTAAAAAGTTGTTGTGCACACAGATATGTACAAAGCATCTGACAAGGTTAATAAGATGGTCTGCATTGAATGTTCACATATCACAGGGTTTGAATTTCTCCAAATTGGGAGCTGTAGTACTCGTATCTTTCTCAACAATTAAGATGAAATCTCCAGCCGCTTTAGTCTGTAGTTTTTAATGCCAAAATTTTACCATTAAAATATTTAATATTATTACTAGTTTACCCAGCCAGATAGATCAAATATTTTTACCTCTAAAGATTATATTTCTCTCTTGCATAAAGCACACAGAGGTGACTTGTTGCGAGGCTCCACCAATGATCCGATTGAGCGCTATAACAGTCTTTTCCGAGGTGTCATTACAAATAACTATGCTTCTGTCAGCCAAACATTGTGAAATAGTCTGAAAGACCAAAGACAACACAGTAAAAGTTGTAAATGTGGGCTTGCCACGCATGATGGGGGGGGTGTGTGAATTTTCACAGATATTTACTGAGAAGCTTTCTGTGTATGGCAAGAGTTAGCATCATTGGTGCTGAATGCTATTAAAGATAAATATTGAAGGGCATCTATGTATACGATGTACTGCTACAGATATAGTGATATTGCTTCATTGGAATTAATGCCACTTTCATTAAAGCGTGATGTGGTCCCAATGCGACATCTGGGAAATTTAAAGTAGAGGAAGTCAATGGGCTGTGGGCTTTATTTAGTACGAAGTGCCAACCACCAAATTGAGAAATTTTCAGGTGTCACGAGTGGTGGCATTGACTGGTGTGTTCTTTCTGCCTTATCAATAAGGGAGAGGGTGGTGGGCCTTTTGTAACATTTTGTGATCGTTTTCCCCAAACCTGACATCAAGGAATACATTCTGGCAGCACTAAAGTCCTTGAATACTTCCTGAACAATGGCATTTTGGGTTTAGCCTTTTCATATTGCCAGATCATGCAGTCTCCCAAACTCCTAGGTAATGCACTGTTCTCGAGTGGTGCTGTGTGCCTGCATCCCACCAGAGAGGACCAAATACTGTTTTTATGCTGCATGCATGCACCATAGTAGTAACTGTAACAGCATATTTTCAGGGTGTGTGTTAGACATTCAGCTCGTTTGCTTCTCGTTGTCCTGGCACTTGTCTCACATATTAGAGCTTGATGCTGGTATTTTGGAAGGTTGAAGGGTTTTCAGTCCTATTTCTTTAGATGCTTAGGTGAGCAGCATCTGTCCCTAGTAGGGCTTGTTTGTTGTGGTAGCGTGTGTGTCGACGTAGTCGTCACTCTGGTGCAGGCTTGCTGGTGCTTGATGTTGTCACCTTATTGTGACGGTGGGTAGCATGGCTGTTTGGATTGTAAAAAAACTGGTCATATAGTAATTGGTCCAGCGAGAGAAAGGAATGCTCATGATGGTGAGCATTGTTTTCAGTCGTTGACATCTGATGCATGGATCTTATGTGACGGCCCTTATTGAGAGAGTCGTAGCATATTCTAACAATTTGGCTGGGGCTCACGTACATTCCACGATGTAGTACTTTACTTTTCTTGTTGTGTATACAATATTATTTAAAACAATTGAAAACATTCGGTAATGTTCTGATATGGTCAGGTGTGGCTTGTGCTGAGTGATAACACATGACAGTTGGAGCTAGCCTGATGAGTAGAGGCGGTTGTATGTGAAATGAGAAACAAGTAGTTCGTATAGGTACATGAGGCCTATGTAAAATCCAATGACTTTGTTCTATGGTAAAGCAGGCTTTTGAGACAAGTCGGTATAAATTTTGAACCAGTGTGCAAGGAAAAGTAGCCAACCCAAAAGCCCTACACTGTACTGTTTACTTGTACGATAATACGTGCTAATGTACCTAGAGTTCGTATTGCGCTCAACAACAAATAGTATTGGGGAGGCTATTCGGCGTTTCATTGCACGCCATGTATTTCCTTTGGTGATGTACTCTGACAATTCTCTGTGCTTTAAACATGCTTCTTTCGTGCATGAAATAACTGGCAGCACTAGCTGCTCTACCTCGTTACACTTGTCCTTGAAACCCGGTTTCCCTTAGGTCGGCTTTTACAGCCTGTTCAGCTTTATCAGCCCACTGAGTGTGTTTTGCAATGTGAGCGAGTTATGGCTTTTGCCTGGAAGTGATACCTACCTTAAAATTTGGGGCAAGCTGCCCCTACCTAAGCAAATGCTCCCTCCAATTCTACAGGTGCAGTAAAACCTCGTTCATTCAAAAACTTTGGGTGCAGGTGTGCCCATTCCCGATCCCAATTTCGTCGTAAATCCGCGGGAACAATGGACATTAAGAGCCACTAGGCAATGTACTTTAGCTATACTAATGAGTGGTAGCTGAAGCACCTCTGCCTCACTACTTCCAGCATGAAAAATAAAATTATGTAAAAAATGACGGTCTCGTGATCAACTGAAATATGCGCCTGTGGAAAACAAGATGTGCTTCACATGCAATACATCAGTGACGTGTGGGCAGCATGTCGCACTGGTTCTCGCACGGTCAGCGCGTCACGATTTATCAATTCTTTCTGGGAATTTAAAGAAATTAATAAAGGGACAGTCTGGAAAAATCTGCGATGTATGCGAACCTCCGAGTGCCGGTTGCACCAGCAATTCGCGCACTTACACAGCTGGCAGAGTTCTTGCCTGCAACACCTACTTTGAAAACTCGGGTTGAAAGGTTCACTGATGATGTTCCTTCCAAAACCCATCACGAATTTCGTCACACTGTCCATTATTAAATTCTTTATCTTACGAGAAAAAATGGGCTGAATGGTCGCATCATGACACAGCGAGGAGCAGGTGACATGTCTGCGTGTCGTTACAGTGATTGTGAAGATGTCTTGTTTTTCACAAGCATGAATTTCAGTTGGTCTTTTTTTTTCTTGCGGTGACAGCAGTTTGGCCCGGAATTCCCCCCCTGTTTGCGGCAAAACTGTGACCAGGTATTGTTGGCAAACATGACCCTTAGGGTTACAAAGTAGCTGGCACAGCAAATGACCAGCCCTGATGAACTTGAACTAATTTAAGTTCCTTGCATTCCACATTTTGTATGTTTTGTTAATTCAAAACCCCACTCAATTTGAAGATTTCTCATGGTCCAAGTGACTTTGTATTAACGAGGTTTTACTGTAGTTTCAAATTCCCACGTCATTCCAGTAAGTCCTGCTCCCTTTCATTTTGCTTGCATACAACACTGGTCCTGCAATCTCATCCAATCCTGCTCGGCCATCCAGTCTTAGTCTAAGCACCTGCACCAGAATTTGTCATCAACAAATAATTTTTTTGTCCACTTCTAACGACCGCATACCGAGCATAGTGCAAGACACTCGTGACAATTTTCAGAGTACCATGAGCGAAAGCATGGTCTACGAGATCTGTATTCCAACATGGTACCTATGGAGACTATGATGGCAGCAATAGCAGGGTCTCATAGATGTCTGTTTGTTAATCAGAGCTCTTGCATTCGCTCATCATTAAAGGCATTTCTATGCCATGGTTTCTGCGCTCTGATCGCATTGGCAAGATATTTGTGAGTGGTCATCATAATGTGCCATGTCATGAACAAGAGTGAAAGAAATCAAAGCATATCCACAGAGTGAATCATGATGAGGGGGGCGAAAGCATCCATCTGTCTGCCCGTCCGTCCATCCACCTGTTCGTTTGTGCGTTCATCCGCCCGTCTGTGCATCTGTCAATGCTTCCGTCGATGCTTCTTTCTGTCTGTTTATCTCTTTGTTTGTCTGCCTGTTTGATACTGTCGGTTAAGACTCATACAGGACAAGGTTAGACTAAAAGGAGCTTTGCCCCTAAACACTTTTGAGGAAGTCCATATGCACTTCATTTTTTTTTTTTCTTGTAGAAAAACTTTGGGGCCACTCCAATGTTGTTACTGTTCGGTTCAAGTGCCTTCCTACACTTCACCAGTAATTTCGACTTTCTAAATGGTAGGTGGGGTTTGGCTATATATTTTACAGCATTTGTCATTTACAGTGTTAGTGACTGACTCGGTCTTTCTAGTTGATGCCTCCCAGCAGACCTCTGTAGTAAGAACAAATACATGGCATATTAAAGTTTCATTATGTGCAAGCATAAACCAAGACTGATAGTATGCTTTGCTATAG